TGTCCATCTAGTAACACAGGAACATATGTTACAAGTTATAACAGAGAATTGCATCGGACATCATTTGGGTCACAAGTGTTGAATTTGGAAATGTCCTCCACGTGTCTACCATAAACTATTTTGAAAGCTGATGCCTCGAATGTTACCTTGATCAAACAGCTTCAGAGCACGACTTGCATGACGCTCTTTGAAATCTTGGTAGAAAGAGAATGATTGATTGAACCTCAAACGTTGTAAAATGTAGACACCAAGGGTTGGAGCTGCAGGAATATTGCTCGAATATGGAAAGTTGACTGTTGGTAAGTTTCAGTCATTCCTCTTGAGGCGAGTGTCTTTGAATAGTTTACTGGTATTTATACATTATTTATTAATCACGATTATTTACACTCCGCCGTGATTTCACTGGACTATCGGTGACCGCAGCGCAAAAATATTCACTTTAAAATAGCTAACAGCTTTTGAGATATCCTCATTATGACGCATAATCGGGCAAAGTGCTCAACGCTCCCCTTTTTCTCTGAGATAAACTTTAACGTTCACTCCAAGACCTTCTGCAGAATGTAACATTCTCGAGCGTGATTTGCACGTGCAGCATGCCCTGCGTTCAAAACGTTTGTTCCATTTTCTTTATTTGAATAACATGACGACATCGGTGTTAAGTTATTTCTTGTGTGTTAATCTGTCATTTCATTGAACGGGCGGACGCGCACAGCACGTGTGGTGATCTCCTTCTCCATAATGTTTAGCCATCACCAGATAGCAAGATACTGTGATTGGAAGACTGGTTCATATAAAACTGCTTCAAAAACGTAGTTATCTTAACGTTTATAACTTGACAATACTTCAACATATGCTTCAAACATATACGGTAAACTACGGTTATAACGAACTCAAAGGGACCACAAATATTAGTTTGTTATAACTGTAGTTCGTTATAAGCAAAAATACCGCATATATACAGCAAATGGCCGGGACGAAAAATATGTTCGTTATATTCGTCAGTTCGTTATAAGCGTGTTCGTTATAAACGTAGTTTACTGTATGTCACACTGAACATAGTGCTTGTACTGCGAATTCGAATATCAACTAGGTCTTTAAGATGCTGATAGAATAGTCAATGAAAACATTTGTGCTTTTAGGCCATGTCCTCTCTCGGAGTCATTCCTGGTTATTGTGTCTCACATTAAATTCAGCTGTGCGTTATCCTGCGCTTCAGAAGATATTCGTAAATATTCACAAACGTGTTTTTTGCTTCGAAGTCATGTACTTTGAATATTATTCCTCATGGTGTGTGTGTGTATGTGTGTGTGTGTGTGTGTGTGTGTGTGTGTGTGTGTGTGAGAGAGATTGAGTGAGAGAGAGGATAGATACATAGATAGATAGGGAGTGCGAGGGAGGGGAGAGAGAGAGGGAGAGAGGGGAAGTAAGAGTGAGAGAGAGACTGAGAGAGTACGGATTAAGTATCCGTAGTATGGAATTGCAAGAGAGAGAGAGAAAGGGGATGAGAGAAAGAGAGTGAGAGTGAGAGAGAGAGGATTGTGAATAGGAATTTGAATACATAGATAGATAGGGAGTGCGAGGGAGGAGAGAGAGAGGGATAGAGGGGAAGTAAGAGTGAGAGAGAGACTGAGAGAGTACGGATTAAGTATCCGTAGTATGGAATTGCAAGAGAGAGAGAAAGGGGGATGAGAGAAAGAGAGTGAGAGTGAGAGAGAGAGGATTGTGAATATGAATTTGAATACATAGATAGATAGGGAGTGCGAGGGAGGAGAGAGAGAGAGAGAGACAGAGAGTACGGATTAAGTATCCGTCGTATGGAATTGAGAGAGAGAGAGAGAGAGAGAGAGAGAGAGAGAGAGAGAGAGAGAGAGAGAGAGAGAGAGAGAGAGAGAGAATTGTGAATATGAATTTGAATATTATTCCTCATGGATTCTGCTTTTAGTTGAGGTTTCTATGTTTATGGAAATGGTTCTTGAGGCTTTTTATGTAATATTTCTATCATGACTGCTTTACTCATGAAACTATAAATGATACTTCTTTCACTCCCTTGATGACGTCACCAAGTTTGTACGTCATGTCAATATCCTTTATCGTATGACGTATTCTTTACAGACAGACACACGTATTTAAAGCTCTCATTGTTGTTGATACCGTTCTTGGCAATATCGGTCTACAATGAACTGTTAATACTGCACATATTCATAAAGACCGTTTCCTGCAGCCAGAACAAAATATACCATATTGATATTTATTGTTATCGAAAACAATATTAATAACTGTACCATGCGTGACAAATGTGACAATAACATAAAACAATACACAACGGGTATTGATTCTGAGGTGAATATATTTCTTCATATATGACATCCTATATTATTATCAATGAGAGCAACACAAACTATCTAGACAATATCAGCACTATATTATTTGTTTTAATATCATTCACTCGTATATATGATACACATATGTACTATCAATAAACTCATATGGAACGAATAAACAACACATGCTACTAATAATAACGTTAACACATGTGTTTTGCGAAAAATATCACTTCATTTTTCAATCAGTCTTGAATTGTTTTTTTAGCTCAGCTCAGAATTAATGTTTCCTAGCATTTGAAGTCTAAATTTCAGTGTTTGCAGCACTTTTCGTTTTGTTTCCATATTGTAAAACAATCTCTTTACAAGTCTCCTTTGTCAAAAATATTAACCTTTTTTTGTCAACGTTATTCCGTGACCTACTTGGAGCGCCTCTAACCTCATAGTTTTTATAGCGGCTTTGAAAGAATTTCACGGGCAATTTACTTTTCAATTATTATTTTCAGAGGGGAGTGGGGTCCCCTGAGGCCGATCTTCAGTGAGAGAGATATGGAAGTCTTGGTGTAACGTCTATATTCCTTCTCAACGTCTTTACTTATCACGTCACCTCAACCGGAACGCCAAACGCCGGGGCGCAAAAGATACTATTTTCCTTTCTGCACTGCATGCTTATCATTATACATCGTCCTATTCGTTTATATAGTTTCACCATTTATTTCATATTTATAAACTTTATTTGTTTTGAAAGCCATGTAACCATGCAGCCATGCAGCAATAGGTCTACGTTTACGAGCAGGCTGTGATTGGTGTTGAGTTTCTCTGGTATCTCGGTGCTTTCGCTTGGAATATGACATAACTTCCCTTGATGGCTTGATTACGCTTAAAGGGGCTTGTCTGTAGGGAATGTAAAGTGTATGGGTCGAGATGAAATTTGGAGTCTTTCTGAAATATTTTCGACACCGTGTTACTGCAGTCAAGAGGAAATTGGGATTGTGATATATGAAGTTGATAAAGGCAAAATTGAAACATATTAATAATACTTCATTGTAAGCATGTACAGATAATCCGTTCTTGTGCCTCTGGTTTAATGCCGCTTTGAACAGTATTTCTGTTATATTATGGCGCAATGCGTGGCGGAAGCCTGAAATGATGCAGGTCAGTTTTACCACTTTGTTAAAACCCGATAATCATACCAAAGGTGAACAGGACGTAACGGCTTGGCCTACTGTGTCACCGTTCCCCTTAAAGACAGAACGGGTTTATACATGTAACTGTTGACATGAGGTTGCTGATATGACGATATATACGTGTTGGCCCTGTGTATTAAAGTTCATTCTCCAGGATGCGATACACAATGTGGGTCAAGGTGAGAAACTGTAACGGGAACTTCATCACACATCGTGTACATTTAGAATTGTATGTGCGTGCTAGAAACTTATGATCATGGGTTTGAATCCAGGTTCGCCGTGTGTGTTAGTGTTAGTGTCAGTGTGTTAGCGTGTGAGTGTGTTAGTGTTAGTGTTAGTGTGTGTGTAACCTTGCTTTGTGTGTGTCACTTTTATCCGTGGATGATGACATATAATGTATAATACGATGTTCATGGTTGACATTGTAATGTCAGCTCGAAATTGTCACTTTTAAGCAAAACTTTTCACGTAAAAGCATATGCTACTTTTGGTGTATCTGTGAGTATTCGGCAAAACCTCTACCTTGTTTGGACCGCCTCCGTGGTCTAGTGGTAGAGCGTCCGCCCGGAGAGCGGAAGGTCCGGGGTTCGATCCCCGGCCGCGTCATACCAAAAGACGTTAAAAGATGGTACTTGTTGTTACCCTGTCTGGCGCTCGGCATTAAAGGGCTAAAACAAGGACTGGTCGGCTCGGAGTCAGTATACCTTGTCTGAGTGGGGTATTCATGCTAAACTGCGGCATGGTATCTCAGTGTGCTAGCACTATAAATCGGCATCAGTCCGGACTAGTACAAGCAGCCACACACACACGTCTCTATATAAGTGCAATAATCTTGGACGCGACGTTAAACCCAATTTCACCTGACCTCACCACCTCTACCTTGTTTTTGCTCTCTACTCACGTATTAGTTTTATGTGTTCATATAGTGCGGACATATGTTTTGTAGCAACCCCTGTCTCTGTTTTTGCGTAGATCCTTTACATTTCTAACCCCTACTGATCATGCCATTTCCATAACAAGCGGGCATCCCGGGTAAGAATATGGGTCCCAAGAAACCTTTATTATGCTTCTCGTCAACATGGTTCAGGTGGCCAGGCCCGATAACATGGCTGACTGCATGTCACGCCCACCTTTTTGGTTAACTGCATCGTATCCAAATTGCGTGGATCGATCTTTATGATGTCAATCACACTGGATTGTCTGGTCCAGATACGATTATTTACAGAGTGCCGTCATATTGCTGGAATATTGCTGAGTGCAGCGTTAAACAACAAGCAAAGCACAACAATATATTTAGAAAAAGATCAGGTGAGCTACGGAGCCTTGTAGTTCTATTTTATACTTACTACTGACCTGAGTCTGTTACAGTACGTGGGTTACTGCGAAGTGTGGTGTGTGTGTGTATCCCTTACTACGATAGGTTGTGTATTTTGCACATCTCAGTGAAATGTCGAATGCTACAATCTCCAAACAACAAAACAACAAAATCTTATAATATGAAAACAATGTTGTATTCCTTCGTCAAAAACATAGATACACCATCGACATGTCATACGAGACGGGACAAATTAAAGAATTTCTCTTGGATTCCGAAATGTTATATTTTCTAAGGCAGCTGTTCCTCAGCATTTGCAATTTCGTTTCGGCCAATTCCATATACTCTTCATTCATACAGAGATATGTATGTGATAAATTTATTAAATGTTCTCAGCATTGTTTTATTATGACTCTAATACAAATTTAAATAGATAGTACTCACACCAAAACACTATCGTCAGAACGCTATACATCAAACCACCAACCACGTAGGCAAAAATATATGTAACATAAGGAAAACCTATGGGCAATACTGTTTTAGTTGCAGCGTTTACATGATCACCGTTCGCCTCTGCTTGGTGTAATACGCAGGTTAAATACATATCCGGTATGATGACGTCACTTCCGGTCACGGGGTGTCGTGTTCTTGTAGGATAATCATGCATCTTCATTCTGTCAGCAATATTTCAGCACTTCCGATCTTATAGTTTTACTTCCGGTTAACCGTGTTACTTCTCTTTAATGAGAATATAATTATTATACAATTTCTTGATTTTGTTTCTAGTGCGTACGGTGAATATATTGAAGCACCACTGGTAAATGAGGCTGCACTGGCGAACACATTACATGTAACTTACACGGTAGGGCCTGAAAACACGTCATCATCACCATCACCATCATCATCATCATCATAATCATCATCATGCATTTTCACACGCATTCCATCACTTCAACCTTACACACTATTCCCAGCCCCATCCAAAGGCTTTCTCAAGTCCTGCCCAACCCTCCCCATGGGTCAGTGGTCATCGCTTGGTCTGGGTCAGTGGTCATCGCCTGGTCTCGGGTGGAAGTCCGAAGAGTTGATGGACACCCACTGTCTGTTCCATGGCCCTTTGACGTCATCACATGATGATGTTGGCGGTTGAGTCACAAGTTCAGATTTACAGGATCTGTCTAAACAAAAGCAGTTTATATCATGAAAATGTTTGAATTAGGCGTAGCGTGCTCGTGTGTGATCGATGTTTTTTTACGCCACATGAAGCAATAATTGAGACGTGGAGACAAGCTCTGTACAAGTAGCTTGCATAAAAGAAACTTTAAAACAATGAAACAATGTTTTTTTCAGAATTAATTAGGTACACATAATCCGCTTGTATTTTTGTCGCGTTGGGGTAGCCTGGTAGTCAATGCGTTCGCTCGTCACGCCGAAGACCCGGGTTCTATTCCCTACATGGGTACAATTTGTGAAGCCCATTTCCGGCGCCCCCCACCGTAATATTGCTGAAATATTGCTAAATGCGGCATAAAACCATACTCACTCATTGGTTTCTACGTGGTTATATATCTCCATGTGGATTTCGTGATCGATGACGTAACACGAATAACGTTGTTGTCAGTCGGTAATCATGGACTTTGACCTTCCCAAAGGTTATGACCACCACCTTACAACCCCCTAGCTAAGAACCTACATAAGGTACAAGGGTCAGGCATCCTTGCCGCGTATACCAGATTGCTGACACGAATGACACGAATCACGGGGGGGGGGGGGGGGGGGGGGGGGAATAATTTATTGAACGCGTTCAGCAATAATACATGTATAATAATACTGCGCTCTGCACATAATACATGTATAATACTGCGCTCTGCACATGATCGAATTGCTAGAGCAACGATCAATGCCATCCAGGTACACCGACAATCGGTGCAGGAGCCTCACAATCAGCCTGTCCAAGTATGACAACCCGACAAAGTAGGTTCCTGGGACCAGTTCTTCCCGGCTCACCCAGGGAGTTCATGCTATGAATATTCATATTAATTACAGCCTAAGAGATGGAACCAAACTGTAACATTGGAAGGTCCCTCCTTTGTCATACCGGTAACAGGACTCACAGAAATAAATGTTTCTGTTGTAATTGACGTCTTTTAATGGATCCGTGAAGATCCGGGGTAGAACAGGTCTTAAGCAACCCATGCTTGCCGTAAAAGGCGACTATGCTTGTCGAAAGAGGCGACTAACGGGATCAGGTGGTCCGGCTCGCTGACTTGGTTGATGCATGTCATCATATCCCAATTGCGTGGATCGATGCTCATGATGTCAATCACTGGATTGTCTGGTCCAGACTCCATTATTTACAGACCGCCGTCATATAGCTGTAATATAGCTGAGTGCGGCGTTAAACAACAAACAAACAAACAAAACGTCTTTTAATGTACAAAAAGCCAATTCCACAGACTACAAAGATGAGGGACCTACCACATTATACGTCCCTCTCTTCCCGTCCTCCCTTCTTAAATGGCTGGTCCCAAAGAGTCATATTTTTCTCGAAACAGACTGTACACAATGACTTCTTGTATAAGATCCATTCTGAGTGATGCAATGTACCGTTACTTACCTGTATCTGTTGTCGCCTTTGGTACCAATACTGATGCTTCTGCTAGTTTGGAAGTTCTCCAATCATCCCTGTCCGTGTCTGATCCTTTTAAGCATTGATGCCCGCGCGGCACCTCTCGGTGACGTTTTGATTGGTTGGTTGTTGTGACGTCTTGTACGTGTGTTGACAGGTCATTTGTCGCCTGGTCCCGACCTCTGACCTTGTCTGTGAATATTGGGAAGACATATTCCCCTTTTACTATTTCCTGCGGGTAGAAGGTTTTGATTAACATTCTGTAAGTCATAGTGTAAAAATGGGGGTATTGTTTAACGTCGGTTTTAGCACTCACGTTTCAAAGGAAGGCAGGGCAAAATAGAAATAGCTGTTTTACCACTGTACCAAAATTTGAAATCAAACCCAGGTGGTAAGTTTGACAGGCGAACACACTTCTTGCTAAAAATAACTATCTCGTTCATAACATTATATATAGATACCAATAAATGAAATGGACATCTGGATATGATATTAAATATATACGATATGTTTTCATTGTATTGAATAGGATCGCATTCACCACAGTACAATCAATTTATTCATTTTTATGTTCAGGAAACACGTACCATGCGCGGCAATTAAAACACAAAAGAACAGTGGGTCGTGTAAAAGAACCTGCACAGACCGTTGATTTGGAAATACAACATTAATAATTGCAAAGAGATAATAGTCATGTTGGCTGCTGGTATCATGCCAGTAACATGAACGTGAAATGAATTTAATGAGTGAGTGATGTGGGAGGAAAGCCCAAAGTGATGCAGGTTTCAGACGTTTACCACTTCGGTGAAACCCACGAGCACGGGTATGGTGCGGACCAATCTCATTAAAATCAGATCTCTATTCTCGCTACCGCTGATCTTTGTTTAGTCCACAGATCATTGTTTAGCGGTAGTAAGAACTAAGGTCTCATTGTAATGAGATTGGGAGCTGACAAACCTAGAAACATAATCGGGGCGAAGCCACAATCATAGGTTTCTGGCGTACCCAAAGGACGCAACTCTGCACGGCGAATCGCGGAGCCTCAGACAACTGAGATATGTACATGTGTATATATTGACATGTACAACACTGACACGTGTATATTTGTTTGTTTGTTGTTTAACGCTGCATTCAGCAATAGGCGCGTAGGATATGGGTACTGAGACCTGCATCACTTCGGGCTTTCCTCCCACATTAAGCTGACACGCCGTGATATAACTGGAATACTGTTAAAAGCGGCGTTAAACCAAACTCACTCACTCACTCACTCAAGCCATAATTTGTCTTGGCTTTCCGAAACTACATTCAGTGTAATATCCAGTTTGATGGTATACCAAGAGATTATTAACAAATTGATTGACTAATCACCTAGTGAGTGAATGAGTATGGTTTTGCGCCACTTTTAAGCACTATTTCAAATGGGCTTCACACATTTTACCCATGTCGGGAATCGAACCCGGGTCTTCGGCGTGACGAGCGAACGCTTTAACCACTAGACTACCCGACCGCCACGTTACATTTTATATTATATATATATATATACACACACACACACACACACACACACACACACATACATACACACACACATACATACTGACATGTACATAACTGACACGTGTAAAAAGTGACACGTTCATAACTGACACGAGTATATACTGACATCTGCATAGCTGACACGAGTATACAAGAATAGACGACCCTATAAACTGACATTAATACTTTCTTAACTGATATGTCTGTTATCGGTTGCAACCTGATATCATTGCCCGACACGCTGATATAACAGCCACAGAGGTATTGATAAAACACTATGTTGATATATATAATACCTCTTACGGTAAATTACATCCATGAATCGATCTATCAACCTGTACGCATTAGTAGTTATTTTCAATTATTTTTATTTTTGTTTCAAAATGCATACGTGTATACATCATAGAAGGAGGTCGTTTAACTCTGTTAGAATTCTTGTATTAGCAATAATCTAACTGTTACTTTATCAACAGTCTCTGCCTTCACGTTGTCCTGAATATGATTGCGGTCCCTCATATACTCTCGTTATCTCAAAAGTGCCTTTCTTCCTTTACAGAGGGACTATCTTCGATAGCCTGGTGCCCATTGCCACTCTTGATCGAGACGACGAATAGCGTCGTGAGTGAAAGTAAAGTAGTCTCGTTGTATTTAAAATAATTAAGCTTAATGCACGTAATAAAACGCAACACAAAACGTGCAGACAAAGTGGTGTTATTAACTAAAGACAAAGGATTGCAATTACAGCTATAATTTGCAATTAAAATTTTGACACAAAAGAACGGAAATTGTGGGATTATATATATATATATATATTCTATGTTCTATTCTATGTTCGCTGAACAGCAGTAACAGTAACCGAAACACATTATGCCTCTAACACAGAGAATATTGTTACAAGCTGTGTTCAGTCTTACTCATACACACATGACAGAGACAAAAAATGACTATTCATTCCAGATACTTACTGGTGCTATGGGCACTATGCCACCGAGGTGGATCTCATACGCCCAAACCAGGTCCACCGATGTCCACTCCAGCGTTACTCAAGGACCGTGTATCACTTAATACAGAGTATCCAATGCACGACTGGTCAGCTGAGGTGTCTCCAGTTCACATCACCTGTCGACATTCATACTGGACCAGTGTCTCCCATTCACCTGCTATATATGTGATGTTACCTCCATGTTTATCTCTGGCAATGTGTGACATCTGACGCCGCGGCGCAGGTCGTTAGATAACGCTCACTCGGTATTGGTCGCCAGTCATAATAACAGCGGACCCAGCAGCCAACCTTGTATCTTCAATATCGTAAAATATAAATATGTTTTAAAATCAATGCGCAGTAAACAAGCATGAACTACCCATATCCCCGCCTATATGACATGTCCTGTTGTGTGCAAGTCACGAAATATGGTACGGTTTTCAAGATCTGCTCCGGAAATGAGCACTACCGACATTTTCAGTCTAAGTCAAAGTCGATTCCATGGAAACTCGAAAAATAAAAATGCCAAACTATCAGTTCACCACTAGACCTATCTATGTGCCAAGTTTGGTTATGATATCTCTCATGGTTTCGAGTTCTGTTTCGGAAACAAAACGTGACGGGCGGACGGATGGTGTGAGTGAGTTGGATTTAACGCCGCTTTTAACATTATTCCAGTTATATCACGGCGTGTCAGCTTAATGTGTGAGGAAAGCCCGAAGTGATGCAGGTCTCAGACGTTTACCACTTTGTTGAAACCCACGAGCACGGGTATGGTGCTGACAAACCTAGAAACATAATCGGGGAGAACCGGGATTCGAACCCACAATCATAGTTTTCTTGCGTTTCTGCACAGCGAATCGCTGCGCCTTAGACGACTGGGCCACTCGTGCGCCCGGACGGACGGATGGACGGACGGACAGCACCCATTTATAGATCGGGGGTGGGGGGATAATTCGTAAGCCAATGCCTTTTGGATTTCCATGATCGTAGTTTTGTAACATGAATCTCCCCCTACCCCTCCCCGTGGAGATTCCTGCTAGACCTGGGGTCCAGGAACCTGTGCTGGTCGTTATACACGACTAGAGGAACGGATGGTCGGGCTCTGGGATGACGTTATATCGTACCACTACAGCGTTGGCCATACACTGTAAATGTGTCAGGTTCCTCAACACAAACTTAAACACGGTCCTTGTCTCATGTTTAATGTGTTGAACATTTCAGAATATGGGGATGTTGTTCTTGGGTGGTGTTTAGGCTGTGAGACGATAGCTCATTCCATGTGCTTAGACCTCCATGCGTTTAGATAGAACACACCATATGTGTATTCCGTTTAGGATTTAAACCCACTCCTAATCATGTTTAGATCTAAACACGTCTTGTCTGTGTTTACATTCTGAACAATTTTTTCTATATAATATAATCTACACATATAATTTCCACATCTATTTTGCCCTTTACGCCAAGTGGAATAGTTATTCCCTTGCATTGGCAATTTATATTTACAGTGTAGCTAATAGCAATCACTACGTGGTCTCGCTTTGTTATTACCCTTTACAGGCAGTCATTATGTAGGTGAATAGTGCTGACGTCGGTGTGAAACAACAAACAATTAAACAAACACAACAACACAAACAAAACAGATTGAATCAAAACCTTTAAAAAAATCCCGGTAGAGGTTTATGAAATGGTTTCATCGTAGCTATGCCTCGGTACCACACAGTTACTTCGCCTTAAACTTTGTGTTGAGTATGATGCGTTCCGGGTAACGAGAAGAGGAGCACATCCGGGTTCTCAAGAATGACAGTTGGTCATCGTAATTTCTGACCCTGATCTGGCCATTATGTCACTGGACGCCTACACGTTTCAATCGGTGTCTTGCATGAACTTATTGTACTTATGTGGGCAGGGTAGTCTTTTAACACCAGATTGATGCAGATCCTGAAACTGGAATGGTCGAATAACCTGATCTAAAAATGCTGGGACTTCGAAAGGAACCAGGATAGTACCCCTTTAATATATTGTACCAAAACATGTCTTATTAATATTGGTATAGTTGCAATTGTCATATATCAATCTGTTCCGTCAACTGATGTTCATATCACCCACACGTGTTACCACGTGATGAAACAGGCAGTATTATTTCCCTCCCTTGTATTAATTGATATTGTAAATAGCTGAACAGTGTTGAACATCACAGAACCGTAAAATGGGCAATTATGGGTTCATGGGTTCATTATCTTTCCCTCACATTAGCTGACGACAAATTCAATGTATAACTGACATGCAGAAGTAATTTATAGGTTCCTGCATCAATATAAAACAGTCGGGAACATATTCTATCCATCTTGTCACAGTTTCATATTCATTCATTTGAAAAACTCGTTTTAAAAAATTAAAGCGTTCACCATCGGAGTGTTTCATTCATGTGAACCAGTTAGTGTACATACATGCGGTGTTACGACCGTACGTCATAAGGGATGGGTTATTGTACAATGATCAAATCTATGTATTGATTTCAGAAAATGATTATTATGATTGTGGTGATTTTGAGTATAACGCTTGACAGATGCACGCTGAGTGAACATCCCAGCACTCCCAAGAAGGATCAGAGTGGGTTGGTGTTGTTTAAAGCGTGGTTAGGGCATAACACCTCACACTCCCTTGCCCTTTCAAATTCACTATCACAGCACTAATAGGTAGCGAAATAGCCATACTAATATATATGTCAAACGTAAAACGTGCTGAATTTTAATTTTAAATTAGGAATAATATAATGATATTTTACAAACTTTAAACCATTGAGGTCCATTTTCATATCAATTAACTAACACCAGTACACTTTATTTATTTGTTTGTTTGTTTGTGTTTGTGTTTGTTTGTGTGTCTGTGTATGTGTTAGTGTTAGTGTTAGTGTTAGTGTTAGTGTGTGTGTGTTTGTGTGTGTGTGTGTGTGTGTGTGTTTGTGTGTTTGTGTGTGTGTGTGTGTGTGTGTGTGTGTGTGTGTGTGTGTGTGTGTGTGTGTGTGTGTGTGTGTGTGTGTGTGTGTGTGTGTTTTAGTGTTAGTGTTAGTGTGTGTATGTTAGGTGCCCAAAGCCATTTTTGAAGTATTTGCGATGCTTTCAACCAAATTACTCTTCAACTACCCAACGCGAATTGCTGAAACACAAAATGCACCTGTCCACTTGTAAAAAGCATTGTCCGCGATTGCAACTTACATTAAACACACTCTCGCCAACCAGCTCGCCGCACACACTTTGTTAAAACGCAGTCTGCCAAGGAAAATATTCATGTCACTCATACAATGTTTTCCTATGCCTAAACACGTCGATACTTTATCGGCAGTTTTGACGCCTCGGTATGGTTCTGTACCCCCATGCGATATACACAGGCCTAGCCTGAGCTCTTTATCTGTTGTCTTGAAATACACAGTCCTCGTTCCAAATAACACTTCGGCGCTCTTCTATCTACAAGAACATGCCTCAACCAGCAGCGTAACAATAGCATTATCGTTATCACAGTGTTGTCGATAACGGGTTCCCTCATGTTCAGCTGGGTATATCTAAAGAAGTGTTTACCCGTGTGTCCAGGGTCATGACAATGGGAATTGGTGTGGAAATATCTATTAGTGAGTGAGCGAGTGAGTGAGTATGGTTTTACGCCGCTTTTAGCAATATTCCAGCAACATCACGGCGGGGGACACCAGAAATGGGCTTCACACATTGTACCCATGTCGGGAATCGAACCCGGGTATTTGGCGTGACGAGCGAACGCTTTAACCACTAGGCTACCCGACCACCCCGAAATATCTATTAGAATTGCCTCTACCTCTATACCGATCGAAACAAATCAGGGATATAATAATGTGACATGAGAACTTTTTCAGGTGTATGAACGTAAATGCTTCTAGCACATGAACGTCGGTTTGCCGGTAGTTTGGTTACGTGTCATATTAATGTGGAGGGAAAACCCGAATGATACAGGTTATAGATGTTCGACCATAATTTGCGTATGGTACAGACGAACCACGGATCACAATCAGTTCGAACCGGGATTCGAACCCACGATCAGCTAATCCTGTGAGACTACAGCGAATTGCCTTGGAACATTACATTGCCATAATATATAACGGTGATGAAACGTCAAACAATTACTTCCTTTTATAATGTTTTATTGTTCGTACCATCAGATTATTAGCTATCGTATGTCAAGAGATGGTCAGCCTTTAACAATATGTATACGTAGGCTGATTTCACCAAAGAAGCAATTTACAACGTCACTTCGGGATCTCCTGCCACATGTGTGAGTGAGTATGGTTTTACGCCGCTTTTACGAATATTCCAACAATAAACTCCAGAAAACACGTTATATAACGAAATAATTCTTCAAAGCAGTGGTAGACCTAACTCACTCACTCACTCACTTTCGCACTGCGAAACACCTGCGATTACAACAACCGTGTGTACGTTTCTTCATTTGAAATACGAAGCGGGTTTTCATGCGGGATTCAAATCCCACTCCACTGGTACCTGGCCTTATCATCTTAGACGGAACCCCTCCCCCCACCTTCCTCCCCCTCCCCCAACTCCCAATGCAGACGTCGCCCACCGTCATACTGAGATTGGTAGCGCTATTTCATTTGACTCGTTAATTTCAGGTGAGAGATGCGTGCCCCGATAGTCAAGGAGATTAACTACGTAGATGGGGTGAACAATACGCCGGGGAAGTCGAGGGGGAGCCTCTCTGCACGACCTATATTCTTTAATGAAGTTTTCTCCTCTGAGCCCTGGCTTTTCCCATTACTACGCCGCTACCCCACACGCGAGCATATCACATCATCAGGTAGATATGCCCTGCCTCTATTAGCACCTAAAGACTATCCGAACGTCTCCTGGAGTTCTGAACTATGAATATGTGCATTTATTGTGAACAAAGCCAGACAAGATGATAATTATAAATAAAAGCGACAAGTCCCTTGCCATATCCAATAGAAATCTCTGCCAAAGACAGGGTCGATTGTAGGATTCCGACTGTGACATGAGCAGGTGTTTATGAATCACTATCCAATAATGATGATATCAGGTGTTCGCGAAAAGGTGAGCGTATCCGGCACCGCCGGTAGAAACCGTCACAAACACGTGCAAAGGCAAGTCAATTGTTCACCTGAAAAAAGACGGAAACATATGGCACAAGTCAAAATGGGGACTTGCATCGGACATCATCACGGAGATGCCCTCTACATCTGTACC